CTTGTAGAGTCAACATTTGGAGCAACGTTATTTTCTCCTACCTTTTCAGACTGTGAGGTGAGTTGCCTCACTGTACTTGTGGGTCAAGGCATCAATGTCGGCCCATTCAATTATATATCTTGGTATATAGGATGTTGCTATGTTGTAGTGATCTATTAGATCTGCATGATTATCTATTTTTTGGTTATATGTTATCTGTTGCATATGTCGACATAGTGCGGTTGGGTTGAGGCAATACTGCTTCGTGCGGAAGCCAACAAACCCGGGAGCAAGCCATCCATATATTGAGGGTCATTAAGGCAAGCCAAACTTATGTTGTAGGCGCGGGAGCAATCCAAACATGAATTATGGGACAAAAAGGCAATTCGGACTCATGTTGTGGGCTCATGGTTAATCCAGCCTGATGGTTGTGCGCCCAGTATGCATGCTATTTGTAACGCCCGTAGATCCGGGCTAGTCAATTAGAGACATTAAGCATCAAAAATGACTTTTTGATGGAAGATTATTTTGAAGGAATAATCTTAACTAAGTTATAGAATATGTTACAAGGTTTTCGTGCATATAAAGAACGCCGAAATCCGAGTTATAACGAAGAAGTTATGACCTGTCGAAGTTTCGCAACAGAACCGGCACGACACAGCGCGACGTAAATAGGGAATTTATGTTAGAGCGATATTTAGCCTTATGATTTTTCTAAGTTTCGACTTAGCGGTATGCAACCCGAATACTTGATTTGAGACCGAGCGGTTTTTAGCCGAAACAATCTAAATAAGAATCGAAGGTCTCGTTAATAGGAGTAAAATGATAAAAAGATAGGCGAAAACGGACGTCCAATAAAGAAGTTATGATTTTATAACGGAGTTTTCTTATCCCGGCCTACTAAAAATAAATAATAAAAATAAAGTCAAAATTAGCCGATGGAGTCTAAACGAAAGTTGTAGAGCGTAGTCTCACCTACGTGGGGATATAAAGAATGTCGAAAACAGAGTTCGTATGAGGAAGATATGAATTTTTGAAGTTTATTAAATATTTTCGATATTTAATTTAATTATAAATTAACCGATATTATCCATGGGGGGAGTCAGCGATCTGATCCACGTTACGCCCAGCGTAATGTGAAGTTACGCCCAGCGTAAATGGGCTACCAGCCCCCTATAAAAGGGTGTTGAGGGCAACCGACTTCTTTGCTCATTTCTTCCCGTTTTCTCGCGTTTTTGCATCGTTTTTCGTGCAAGAATTATCCTGAAGCCCCGGTATCATTCCCGAGCCCCGAAGCAAGTCCCGAGGCCCCGAAGATCCCGAGAAGTGTGATTCCCGAGCTGAAGCTCTGCCCGCGAGGAGCCCGGTTTTTGAGAAGATCTTCCAGATCTACCGAAGAATACTACTTCTACAAGTCGTAGTGCTGTCCGATCATCTTCTAATCAAGTGAGTGTGTGGTTACTTTCTTCTAACGCATAATTATTAAGTATTTAATATAAAATACGTGTTATGTGTATATTTTGTTGTTATATGCGTGAATGTATATTCACTTTCTTCTATCTCATAGATCTGATTTATTCTCTATGAAATACGTGTTATGTGGGTGTGCCTCATCTGTTATGTGGAATAGGTATTGAATGAGAATGCTATACAGGTTTTAAACTATGTATAAATATATATATATATATATATATATATATGATATATCTACTAATATGTTGGGTAGAATATGGGTAGATAGTTGATGTGTGATAAACAGATGAGAGGCCCCGATGTTGTTGTTGTTGATCTAGTTATTCAGCGAGTATGGATTAGACCAAGAGGTTAGTTTTAGATCCGGGAGTATGGATCAGGTAAAGAGATAAAACTTGTTATTAGTCCGGGAGTATGGATTAAGACTAAGTTAATTGTCCCTAGTCCGGGAGTATGGATTGGGCACAGTTATTGATCCGGGAGTATGGATCAGATCAGGATTAGGGTATAGTTAATTGTCCTTATTCCGGGAGTATGGATTGGGTACAATTATTGATCCAAGAGTATGGATCAGATCAGGAGGTTAGTTTTAGATCAGTGAGTATGGATCAGGTAGTTTTAGATCCGTGAATATGGATCGGGTGAAGATAATAGTTTTAGATCCGTGAGTAGGGATCGGGTAAAGAGGAAAATTTTAGATACGAGAGTTTAGATCGTGTCGTTGTGAGGAGCGATGGGGGTGGGATAAGAGTTGCCTTTATATGGTGAAACTGTACAAGTTTGAATGTTCTATATTTATAAATATATGATATAACATTGTGGGATGAAAACCCTATATGCTCACCAGGCTCCCAAGCCTGACCCACTCAGTTTTCTTTGTATCACAGGTATTAATACGAAGACATATTTCACAGAGAGATTTAAAGGAGATATAAATCAATTGTGTAATTAAATGTAAGTTCTGTTTATGCTTATATGTCTGTATCGGAACATGACATCCCGAGATTTTGTAATATAATGAAAATACATTTCTTTAAAGAAATGTTTTGATAATTTTTATCATATTTTGTTTTGGGAACAAATTTCGCAACTGTTTTCTTTAAAAGAGTACTCTGATTTTAAAAACAAGCATAAACAAATCGGTCTTTTTTGGCCGTGAAAATGGGGATGTCACACTATTATATGTTTGTGTAGTCGAATTTTGGGGAAATCACTAAGGTTTTGTTTATGATTAAAGTGTTATGTTTCAGGTACTTCAGATGACCAGGGGAAAGCAAAGGCGTGATCGTACATATCCTTCAGTAACATGTTTTAGAGATGTTATGATACACTAATTTTAGAATATTTGTACTTGACATTGGTTTCTTATGACTTGGGTTTTGGTTGGAAACAATGATTTTAATTTAATTAAAAATAAATTTTTTATTGTGTTTTTGGGATGTTACATAATAATAATAACTAGATGGGGAACCCATGCGTTGTAGGGGTCGGATGCAACCCACCTATTTAATATCAATATTAAGTGGTAATACATAAATACATGGGTTTGGTTAGATAAAACTTTGTTTGATGATTTCGCAAGCAATCCATTTCACATGTGCCAAACATTTCGTACGGGCTCATTACACATGACCCATTTCATATGTTTCCAAGTGCCTACCCTTCACACAAGCCCCACTACAAAAAATGGCAAAACGATATATTTTTTACCATTTCACATTACACATGGGCCATTTCATTTATTTATTTATTATAACATCCAACTTTCATTTCTTTCTATTACAACATTATACCTTTTAATTTCTTTCTAATTGAGTAAATGTTTTTTAAAAAATACTTAGAAAACAAATCTTGTTAGCACATTGTAGTTTGAAAATCTACTCAATCATGGCTACAATGTTGTAATATGGAGATATGAAAGTAAAATGCTATAATAGAGAAATAAAAAATATAAGTATATTGATATTTCTTGCATCAAAAGATTAAGAACCACAACAGAAAATTATGTAATTCACCATTTTATGAAGCATTTTTAAAAAAAAAAAAAAAGAATAGATTCACAGTCACCCAACATATATGTATCTACCTCTCAAGATTATCTAATACAGTTCATGGAAAGGTTCAACTTCCAATGCATGAGGTACAACTTACTATAGCGGTAATGCTCTAGTTTTTTACCAATTCTAGTCCCCTCGAAAAAAGCAACTATAATGGGTAGGTTCATCTATATCGGTAACTTCAACTTTTGATCCACATCTTAATCTCACCTGATGAGAAAATATGATATGTTGAAAGGGGCAATTTTTAAATTTTGTAATTAATTAAAAAAGATTAAAATATTGAGGTAGGTTAAGGTAAGCTTGTTTGAGGTCCATTTTAGCATTTGTCACCATTTGAGAAGAGCATGACTCAATATGACTCATCAAAACATTTGAGAAATTTAATATACAAGTTTCAGTGAAATTCAATAAATAAAAATAAATAAATAAACACATACCTTAAAGTAGTTGTGGTATGACCCTCCACTTGACTGACATCCTAAAAGGGACAAACTTTGTAAACATACCTGAAGTTGTTTAAAAAAATCCAAATTTAAACAAAGATAAATATAAGCTTTACAATAATAATAAAAAGAGTAAAGTTAATAACTTGTTCTCTTTGATCTCAAAACAGCGACCATATAATGAGTAAAACTCCTTCTTTGGTCCTGTAATGTCAAAGAAAGATAGAATGAAACCTGCATGAATCAAGAAAGAAATCTGAAAGTCTATATTACGAATCAGTGACCAATCAACCAATAGGAACCTGCAATGTAAAGTGATTTCCTGTTTGTTCTAAATTGTTAATTGGAGTCTAAACCCTATAAAATGAATAAAAAAAATTGAGAAACATACCAATTCTAGAGTCATAAGTTGCTTACAATCCGTTAACACTCGTCCTTTATTCGTGGTTCACCTTCTTGATCTCCACATCTGTTTATGACCATATGCAGGGGCATTTTTAACAAAAACTGTTAAAATCATTATTTTTTTTATAAAAATAAAATTATGTAGGGAAATAGAAAGAGACTAACTTGGTTTTAATATCTATAACTACCATTTCGTCAATAGAAATAGCCTTTTTTCAGATGTTCCTGCATTAAACATTTTTATTAAAATAAAAAAAATAAATAAATAAAAAAAAAAAAAAAACAAGTATTAGCCTTTTGTTGATAAAAAAATTTTATAATATACGAAAATGATGTCCCAGGAACTTCCAATCTGCCTGTAAGCAAAACATTCTAACGTGAACATCCCAAGAACTTCCAATCTTCCTGGATTGAGCCTAATAAAAGGAATGGAAGTCACTAATCTATAATTCATCAAAAATTACAAAGTGCAGATAACATATTTGATTCTAGAATCAACAAATACGCATATGAATGATTATGCTGATGACATACCATGTGTGTATGAGGTAATTTGATGTGCAAGAACCCAAATTTCCACATGCAGACAACAAAACCCAAGTAATTTCAGAATTTATACTTAGGGTTTACAACTTACCTGTCAAAAGCTTGTCCAGCAGAACGAAAGAGTTGAAGGAATTAGGGCTAAACAATACCGACACAGCGACACAGGGCTGTTGGCTACCTGATGGTCGTACCTATTTAAACAACAAATGCATTTATACCACCGAAAGCAGTTCTTACACAAGGAAAGCGCACTTGGTCTGGATGATTCGTCTGCCATAGTCAAGAAAAATAAAATTTCATTCTAAAACCCAAAAGAATGACATTGTCGAAATTACAAAATTACCTTTTTGAGAGGAGTAAGTGACGAAAAGGTCTGAATAGGGTTCCGAATTGGGATAGAGTATTATAGACTTACAGAGTTTTAGTCATTGAAAGCAAGATCTTCTGAAGGGATTCCATCTGTTTTGTGAAGATGGTATTTTTAATGTTATCAAGGTTTTTTAGGGAACCATAGTTTTTGGGACTTTCGAGCAACTGATAAGAGGGTAAAAAAGGGAATAAAATCGATAAGAATTAATCAAGAGATTGAATCTATGTATGAATATATATATATATATATATATATATATATATATATATATATATATATATATATGTGTGTGTGAAATGTGAAGGACCTGTAACCTTCCAATGATGGAAGAAGCATTTCTGAACTGTGATACTAATTGAGCATGAAGGTTGTCCCATTTATCCATGTCATCTTTCACCCTCTTGAATTTCTGCTGAAACTTTTTCACTGTTGCCTCCATTGTTAACCACAAATTCTTGCATTTATTGATATACACGATTAGAGTCTATTGATGCTCATGTTATAAATTTACCTATTTATTTTGGGTTTACAGTTTATTGCATTGTTAACCTATAAAATTTGGCAAACATGTCATAATCTCAACCCTAAGTATGAACATCTGGAAGAATTAGGGGTTCAGAACTCTATCAGACATATACACAAACACATGGTATGGTGTCCACTCCGGAATGAAAAGTTAAAGCCTTATGAACACAAAGCACACCGATGTGGATCATCAAAACCCAAAAAGAACATATTCATCATAAATCGGTACAGTCAGTAACAATAAATTGAATAAAAACATGCCCAGATTAAGCAATGAAACCAGGGATCGAAATTCGAACAGTGTGCCTACGTAGGTGGATAAAGAACATGATAATTGGGATATGATGCATGTAAGGGATCAAGAACTGAGACATCATGCTTCAATCAGATTGTTAAAATTAAAAATCAAATTTCGAAATTATACCATTTCTTTTAACAGTACAAACCCACGGTGGCAGCGTTTGAGAAGCAGGAGAAAAGGGGTTAGAAGCTCCAGTTGGCGGTGACTGCTGGGTTGCTGTCGGTGGCACAAATCAGGAGTCAGCCCCGTCGTGAGAACCTAAATCGCAGCCCGGTTGAAGAGCTCAACGGAACGTATCCGATCTCAGTCCCGTCGTGAGAACCTAAATCGGAGTCCGGTCGATGGTCATCTGCGGCGTCCCGTCTGTAGCTTGGTGAAATCCGAATATGAGTGGCGAGAAAGCGGTGGGGGAAGATAAGGCAGAACCGGTGGGGGGAGACGCGAGAATGACACGTAAATACCCACCGGAACTCCAAAGCACCACAACTGAAGTGAGAGGAGGCAGTGGAGGTCATAATGGAACCAGGGAAAACACACCTGTGCCATCAATTGAAGGCACCGTAGTAGAAGGAACAAAATCGAAGGCATCGTAGTAGAAGGAGCAAAATCGATCGGTGGGGTGGGGGTGGTTTTAGGGCTTCTAGACGATTTTGATGGGAGAAGAAAAGGTTGGATAAGAACAAAGAAACTGAAGGACCGATATTCCTTACCATGGTCGAGGAGCGAACCCGATGAACAGTACCCTAGTTAGAACTTTGGTTAAGCACTATTCCTAAAAAGTGTCCTCCTTTAATATATATATATATATATATATATATATATATATATATAATATATATATATATATATATATATATATAAGAATAATATACTAAAAGGAAATGATGAAAAATGAATATATATATATATATATATATATATATATATATATATATATATAATAGGTAAAAATGTCATTTTAATTTGGAAAATGGACTAAATCTACAACGAAACTACTTGAAAAGGATTGTCTGTTAAAAGTTTTAGGACTACAAGGACCATCTATGAGGTTTTTTGAACTTAAGGACTATATGACAGATTTCTGAAAAGCATAGAGACCATTTATGAAGTTTTTGTTTTCTAAAACAAATTAATAATCGTTACCTAAAAATTTTATTGTTCAATAATTACTTTTATCAATAATCATGTAAGTTTTTATAAAAAAAAAAGTAAGTTTTTATTGAATACCATTATGTTAAATCCTAAAATCATTAATCCAGTAAAGATGCAGAATATAGAAAATCTGTTTATATGTATATTCATTATTCAAAAATTCATTATAAAATACAAACCAGAATACATTTTGTGCTTATGAATCAAATTGAATTTTCAAACAGTTATAATTTTATGTTTAGGTTGAGATTTTTGTTATCTAATAAATATTTATTTCTTACTAAATTAAAAAGTTTATCTTAAATTTTCTCATTATGTTGAACATGTGACAATAAAGACAACTTGTATAAGGTTGAAACTTTAAATTGTATTAATTGGATCTTAGATGATTGTAAGACTTAGCCAACTTAACCAAATATTATTGGTAGATTATTTAGACTCGGCCTCTAGTCGGGGCGAGTTTGGCCAACTCGGCCAAAAGACTCATATATTAATCAAAATCGGTCCAAATCAGTCAAACTTGAACCTGTTTAACTCAATATGCCCACTGACATAACTTTTTCTACTGAAGAACCAGAAAAATCCAGCACAAAACCATTTTCAAAATTCTGAAACATATTTGGACACTTGCCAAAAAAAGACAATCTTACCAAAAACACCCTCAACATCCTACATAGATAGGCATAAAGAAGTTCTAATGACTTGGCTAATATTACTCGATTATCTCAACTGAACATGTAGTCCTCATTTAAGACAAATTAAAACATGTCTATTAATACTAGATTTACAAATTTCCGGCTACTCTCATTTAAGCTTTCACTTTAGAAGAACTCAATATACTCTCTTTTATATTACTCACATTAGCTACTAAAGAAATCTTTAAAATCACTTATTTAATTATTTTAACTCTATATGCTTTTAACTCTTAACTCCATTATACACATAAGGAACAACGTCCTATATAACAATTAAATAGGGGTTGGCTAAAAAGACAATCCATATTGCAATATGGACACCTTAATTATTTTTTAAAATATTTTTATTGGCTGAAATTGCATTGTTTTCTGGAAAAAAAATGATTAGAAACAATTCATTATTGGTTGACTTTTTATAAAAATGTCAATATGATGTATAAAGGGTGTCTTATTAGCAACACTCATGATCAGGTTCCATGGTAATTCTTCTTAAAGTATTCAACCAAAATCTTATATTCTTCATCGTTCATCACTCTCTTTTCAATCTTGTTCTCTCATAATATTATGCTCTTCTTATTTAATATTCTAGTTGTATCTTAAAGCACTACTTCTTTCCTCTACCTCTTACCTCTCGTGTCTCATCGTGGCCTCTAGGCGTGTCGTGAAAGGAAATTAGGACATTAGAGTTTCAACCAAAGAAATTTAGGTTATACTAAGTTTGGACCATAATGACATATTTTCATTTAAGGTAGCCTACCTAAGACACATCATCAAAGCTACATGTACCCATGTGGCAAGTTGAAACTTTGGAACAGATGAAATCTGCTTCAATTGAT